TTGTTATCATCGACCGAGAGTGAAGGAAGGTGAGCTGCACCATATAGCCGAGAGTGAGGGAGGAAGCTGAGAGCTGCATTTCCATTTCTGGTTCTGTCCGCAAGTATCGAAGAGGGAGGAGAGGAGGAGAAACTGTGAGCAAACTTTCCTCTGCATTCTCCAAGCTCAGCCGGTTGCTAACCAGCTTCCACCATCACCAGCTGCAACCCCTACAACCCAACCAGAACCAACCTACCTGTGCGTGAGGACAAGAGCCGAGAGAGAGGGTCAGACTTCAGCATCTTGTCGAGTGAGTGAGCATCCAGTGAGGTAAATTTCTGGACTGTAAATTGGATAACCAGTGGTAGTATAAGCAAGCTCTGGACTTGCATGTGAGGACTTTAAGTTCGGATGATGTAATTAGCTATATGATGATTTGATATTAAGCTACCAGAAACTGGTTTGGAAGAGAAAATGGTACTGCCGTGTGCTGAGCTTGAATGTTGTAGCTGTAATTCATAAATTGTGGGATGATCAGAGGTGGAATTGTGTTTAATCACCTGAAAACAAGATGATAAAGTCATGCATGAAATTAATTAGCCTGGATTACTCTGGAAAATAAGATATGAAACAGAATTTTCACATGCAAACTCATCCGAGAGTAGTTGCACAAAACTCTGGAGTTATGATTGTATTTTTGCTGCTGCCGAACTGATTTCTGGTCTGGAATGATAGTTAATCAACTCAGTAATTGTGCATGTGAGAATTAAGGGCAAAATACAAGGTTTTAATGTGGTTTTAATGTACAAGGAAAAATTCTGTTTTGATGTAGAAAATTTCTGCCGAGAGTTGTTTTGAATAATATAGTTTCATGTGGAATAATCTTGCTGTTTTAAGCCTCTAACCATGACTAACTAGTAAATTACAAGATGATTAAGCTACGCATGTAGTTAATTGGTTGAGTTAGAACAGAAAACAAAAAGAAAAATGCAATCAGTTTCTGTGCAGATTTCAACCGAGGCTAGCTAGAATTTAATTTGAAGACTCTTGTTGTTGTTCGAATTTAATTCTTGAACCAAAAATGTTAGTCAGTTAGTTAAGTAGTTGTATGTTGAATTTGAGTATTTAAATCCCTGAATAAGCCAAGGAAGAATTTTATACAAGATAAATGGTTGCTGGAAAATTTAGCTAACCAAACGTTTGAGCAGAAAATATTGAATTGTTTCTGAATTTCACTAGTTGATGTTTGAATATTTTCCTTGGCATAAAATGGTTTCGAAACACAGAAAAAGGGTGTATTTTAAGATATACATGTTGTTTAGCAATGAAACATTTGAATTGTTAGCCTTGTTGCTACAAGAATTACGGGTTGGGTGCTAGGGGCTAATGATTGACGAAGCCCTTGGCCATTTGAATAATTTTATAAGTACTACAGGGTGATGAAAGTTAATTGCTGGAATGTCTTGGAGGCTTTACTTTTATTTTTATTGGCTTATGATGGGCTTGCTGAGACCAAGTGCTAATGATTGATGAAGCCTTGGTTGATCATTTTATTTTATTCAGAAATGCACTTGTTGAAATCTAGGGCTAATGATTGACGAAGCCCTAGTAATTTGCTATGTGAATTTTTGCCATATTTTGATCCATATTATGATTTCGAAACGGAATCGGAGCTGTGGAAGTTGTATCGATCTTGCGAACTCGAGTAGCTGCGATCAAAATTAATCAAAAATATTTTCCAGCTAGTATTATATTATAAAAACTCCATATCTAGTGTTTTGCCTAAAACTTTCCAACTCGATAATTTCATTTAGCTCAAACTAGCCTTGATAGCTATAGTAAGTAAGTTCTATAGCTTTTGGAAACTCTAAGTCTTATTTTAATTCTTTTTTTCTTTCCTTAAGCTTTGCACTTGGATAGTTAACTATAGGAAAAGTTCCAAAATACGAGCTTTACTAATTTTAGTGAAAAGCTTGGGAGACTTGCTCGGCAAGAAACCCTATTTTAAGAAAAATAGTTTTTAAGGATAATTTTTGCAAAAGCCGTAACTTTAGAGAAATGTTCAAAGTAACTTTCTAACATTGTTGTTAAGAGTTTTGCCGACTCATTTCAAGAAAATGATACTAGTTACCCTTTATAAGGAAGAGTATCTTACGGAAAACTATAAGAAACATTTCTTCTAAGTTTGTCAAATTTCAACCTAAGTAGATTCCTAATTTTTCTAAGGGTAGTAAACTCGTAATATATTAAGTATACCTCTGCATGTATAAGCTTAAAAACTGAATAGAAACTTATAGTTTCAAAATTTGGTTTTTAGGATTTTGCGAGGACGCGGAATTCGATTCTCAACTTGATATCTGAACTCCACTCTTGGTAAGTGTCCCTGCCTGTTCTATGATTACTTGGTTAAAGTGCTTTCTTGACTCGATATGTGATAATTTGCAAAACTAGTTTTTGATCCATCGAAGTGAGCAGTGTGTACTTTATCGCACTAGCCGTTCGAGTGGTGACTTGCGTGAATCATTTTTCTCATGAATCCTTGAATCCAAATGTAGTTACGTCGTTGGGTGAATCCCTCGGCACATGAATCTAACTACAATAACGTCGTTGGGTGAATCCCTCGACAAATTATCTACGGGTATATCTCGAGTATACTGCGTCCTTAGTCGACGTTCGGGCCCGGGACCGGGGTATGAATGGTGACGGGTTAGGATTAAAATGAGTGGATCTACATGGACTATAAGTAGTGAGAGTTGACGGAGGGTCAACTACGATGAATGGCGATCAAGCGAGGAAAATGGCTCCTGAGAGCCCCTGTATCCTACCTTGTGTTGTTATACGCTTTCCTAACTGTTCAATTTGTTTAAGTTATTTCTCGCTGTTTGATTTACGTGAATGCATGTTTTGGGGCACCACTGAGCGTTAGCTCACCCCACGTTTATTTGTTTTCCTTACAGGTCTGGAAGTTGAAAGAATTTGAGCTGCTTATATTTCCTATGAATGTTTTTGAATAGCTTGAATTTAGATTTCGGTTTGTAATGAATTCTACGTTAAGTACTGTACCTTTTATTTTGGTTGCCACTTGAAGCTGGAAAAATGTAATCCCAAATTCTAATATTCGGTTTGTATGTTTTTATTAGTATAGTATGTCTTTAACCTTGCGAGTAACGTGTGAAGTGGTTAAGAGCCGTCGTTTGGCTAAGTTGTATGCCGTTATCTTTGAAGCTAATGAGGTGATAGAAATTGATTTATTTCGGAAGAATTATTTTTGTAGTAGTTTAGGTTAATCCCTGGAGGATTTTAAGCTAGAATGCTTGCGTGAGTCCTGGCGAGAGCTGGGCAGACGGCCCGCCAACCCTTTGGTTCGCCTTAGGGGGAAGTGGGGTCGCCACAGGTGGTATCAGAGCCTAGATTAGAAAAGTTATTTGAGAGATATACTATACGAGCTAGAAATCCTGATCCTTCTAGAAGTAAGAATTGAGACCATTAGATACATCTTAAGTAATACCGATTCGATTAGCTATTTGAGTTCTAACCTCTAAGTTTTAATTCTTTTGCAGGTATGGAGAATGGTAATGGACACGCTAATGGTAATGGGGCGTCTAATGGACATATAGAGCCTCTTAGGTCCATCTCTTATAGGCCACGTGGCGGGAGGAGCTCATATACGTTACACCCTAGCTGATAGGCATCCTCGGTGTCAGTGTAGGGCCACTTATGCCTACCCCAATGAGCTAGTACTATCCCTAGATGATGAGCGTCGCTAGCTGAGGGACGTTAACTTCACTTTGTCTCAGGACGTAGAGGAGCTGAGTATCATGGTGGACACTCAGTTCGACCGCATAGCGGACTTAGAGCAGAGGGTAGCAGCGGAGCATGCTAGGCTGGAGGCTGCTCGCGTAGAGATAACGCGTCAGAGAGCGAGGGTGACTCGATTGGCCGAGAGGATACGTGATAGGAGTGTCGGTATCAGGGCTGATGCCGTGATGATGATAGAGGAGGCCACGAGTATCCTTCAGAGTGTTGAGCAGGAGGACCCGAAAGAGGATCCGGAGGAGGATCCAGAGGAGGACCCGGAGGAGGATCCGAAGGAGGACATAGCTCCCGATAGCCCTGCTGAGGGTTAGGCTTGGATCGATTCGACCATATTGGATATGTAGGGTTAGAATAGGGGGACATTAGCTAGGTCATCAAGTTTTGTCTAGGTGGATGACTTGCTTCGGAGGCATCATATCCCTAATTTTTGTTTAAGGGACTATTTGTATGTATTTTTGCTAGTCATGTGCCTTACTTTTGGAAATGTCCCAACTTATTATTTGTATGACTTTCACTCAGAAATATATGTTAAGTGTTTTACTTACTTTTTCCTCCATTTCCATATTGATTTTATTTACTAAGGAAATAATAATAATTATAAATAAATAATACTTCGCCTAATCGCCTTATCCTTCCATAATAGGCATAATTTAGACTATGGATCGCCAAGTGATAGGAAGGGGCCGTGGGAGACCCACTAGACAACACCCAGAAGCGGGTAGAGATAGGGAACCCGAGGTCAATCCAGACCAAGGGCAAGAGGGCAGGGCCGGAGACGGAGTGGCCACCGCTATTAACCGTATCACTGACGTTCTAGAGCGCTTGACTGAAAACCAAGCCACTGGACCAGTGCGTCATCAGGGGGCCCAGTTGATTCCGATGATCGGGCACTGGAAAGGTTCCTGAAGTTTGGACCTCTCAAGTTCTACGGAGGACCCGAGCCGGAAGTGGCTGAAGGCTGGTGGGAGAGGATCACTGAGATCTTCACCGCCTTAAACTATACGGAGGAGCGAAATGTGACTTTTGCCATCTTCCAGTTTGAGGGAGCCCCTCGCTCCTGGTGGAACCTAATGAGGGTTCATTGGGAGACTAATCATACACCAAGGACTTGGGTGAACTTCACAAGGGAGTTCAATGCCAAATTCCTTCCACCTCTCATTCAAGAGAAGAGAGAGGATGATTTCATTAGATGCAAGCAAGGGGCGATGAGTGTCGCCGAATATGAAATCCAGTTCACAAAGCTATCCCGCTTTGCACCTGAGTTGATAGCCACCGAGCAAAGGCGTGTTCGGAGGTTTGTGCAGGGTTTGAATGTGGAACTACAGGAAAGTTTAGCCGCCGTAAGGATAGATACTTTCCCAGATGCTGTCGAAAGAGCTCAGAGAGTTGAAGTAGCTAGAGCTCAAGTGAAATCTTTTCAAGCTAAGAAAAGATTTGCCCCCAGCAGTAGTCGAGAGCCGACGTATGGAAATACTCCACCGGCTAACGTGGGCCGAGGTACAGGCGGAGTGACTAGTCCCGGAGCACCGCGAGGTGCATTAGCAAGGGGAACCGGGGCAAGGAATGCAGGGGGAAGAAACAATGGAACTAGAGGGGGACCGATTGGAAGAGTACAACCTAGGAATACCTCGCAAGGAGGCCGAGCCATAATTCCCCAAATGACTTGTGCATATTGTAAGAAACCTGGTCATACTATGGATGACTGCTGGAAGAGGCAAGGAAAGGGCTTGAAATGTGGAAGTAGCGAGCACCAAATTTCTGGATGTCCAAAAATGCAGGAAGGGACTACTTCGAACGCTAGACCAAACACTTCTGGAGGGAGCCGGCCGACAGTTCCTGCCAGAGTGTATGCTATAGGTGACCAACCTGTACCTGATTCCTCGGAAGTGGTGGAAGGTACACTTCCGATTTTTCATCGATTAGCTAAAGTGTTAATTGACCCTGGTGCAACCCATTCATTCGTAAATCCATCTTTTATGTCTGGAATAGATGTGCAACCTGTTAGATTACCCTTCGATCTTGAAGTTAGGACTCCCATGGGTAATAAGAATGTAATCACTAGTTTGGCTTATAAGAATTGTGAATTCTGGATTGGAGAGCGTAAAATGCTAGTGGATTTGATCAGTCTGGACATAAAAGGTTACGATGTTATAATAGGAATGGATTTTCTAGACCATTATCATGCTAAACTTGACTGCCGAGCGAAAGTGGTGGAATTTTGTATACCTGGTGAAGCAACCCTGAGGTTAGATGTCAAGGGTAGGTTAGCATCATCTGCTATGATCTCAGGAATCCGAGCAAGGAAAATGTTGTCTAAAGGAGCGCAAGGTTTCTTAGCCTTCTTGATAAACGCCCCCAGTGATCAAGTGAAGCTGGAGGATGTACCAGTGGTACGGGAATTTCCGGATGTTTTTCCCGAAGAGTTAAGGACTCTACCCCCGGAAAGGGAAGTGGAATTTAAGATTGACTTGATGCCTGGAACGGCTCCAATTTCTAAGACCCCATATCGAATGGCTCCTGCCGAGCTAAAAGAATTGAAAATTCAATTACAGGATCTGTTGGAGAAGGGCTTTGTGAAGGAGAGTGATTCACCATGGGGAGCACCCGTCCTATTCGTTAAGAAAAAAAATGGAAGCTTGAGGTTATGTATCGATTACCGAGGGTTAAATGAGGTTACAATTAAGAATAAATACCCTCTACCGTTGATTGATAGCTTATTCGACCAACTGCAAGGGTCAGTGGTCTTCTCTAAGCTGGATTTAAGGCAAGGGTACTATAAGTTGAAGATCAAGAAGGAAGATATACCTAAGACTGCTTTTAGTACGAGATATGGACATTTTGAGTTTACAGTCATGCCTTTTGGATTAACCAACGCACCAGCTGCTTTCATGGACCTGATGCAGAGAATTTTTAAGAAGTATCTGGATCAGTTTGTAGTGGTTTTCATAGATGATATCCTGATTTACTCTAAGACTCGAGAGGAGCATGCTAAGCATTTAGAGGTGGTTTTGCAGATACTAAGAGAACATAAGCTGTATGCCAAATTCAGTAAGTGTGAGTTTTGGTTGACTGAAATATCTTTTCTAGGGCACAGAGTTTCTGAAGATGGAATTTCCGTGGATCCGGCAAAAGTTGAGGCCATTATGAATTGGAAACAACCAGAAACTCCAACTGAAGTTAGAAGTTTCTTGGGTTTAGCAGGTTATTATAGGCGATTTATTCAGGATTTCTCGAAGATTGCAGGACCTATGACTGAGCTAACCAAGAAAGGAGCCAAGTTTGTCTGGACTCCGAAGTGCGAGTCAAGTTTTCAGGAACTAAAGAAGCGGTTAACATCCGCTCCCGTTTTGGTTTTACCTGATGGAGGTGAAGGTTATGCTGTATATTCTGATGCTTCCAGAGAAGGTCTGGGATGTGTCTTAATGCAAATGGGAAAGGTAGTTGCCTATGCTTCTAGGAGATTGAAACCCCACGAACAAAACTACCCAACTCATGACCTAGAACTAGCCGCAGTAATTTTCGCCTTGAAAAAATGGAGACACTACTTGTACGGCGTGACTTTTGAAGTTTATACGGACCATAAGAGCCTCAAGTACTTGTTCTCCCAAAAGGAGCTGAATTTGAGACAAAGGCGATGGGTAGAATTTCTGGAAGATTATGACTGCTCGATTAATTACCATCCAGAAAAAGCCAATGTGGTGGCTGACGCTCTTAGTAGGAAGGCCCAAGTAGCAGGGTTAATGGTAAAAGAGTGGGATATGTTAGAGGAAATAAGTAGTTGGAACCCTCGCCTGGAGAAATTGAAGGTTTTATTTGGGAATTTATCATTGAAGTCACCGTTACTAGAGCGTATTAAGGAGGCCCAGAAAATGGACCCTATGATTCGGAAGAATCTGGAAAAAGTGCAAAAAAGGGAAACCCTAGACTTCAAATTAGGGCCTGAAGGGGTATTGAGGTTTCGAGATCGAATTGTGATTCCGGCAGATGAGGAGCTAAGGAAAGGAATTCTAGAAGAATCACATCGGTCAAAGTATACTATACACCCAGGTGTGGCCAAGATGTATCATGATGTGAAGGGATTATACTGGTGGGAAGGTTTGAAAAAGGACGTGGCAGCGTTTGTACAAAGATGCTTGATCTGCCAACAAGTAAAAGCTGAACATCAAAAGCCCTCTGGTTTATTGCAACCGTTAGAAATCCCTGAATGGAAATGGGAACACATAACAATGGATTTTGTAACGGGACTACCTAAAAGTCAAAAAGGTTTTGATGCAATTTGGGTAATAGTCGATCGACTCACTAAGTCTGCACACTTCTTACCCGTAAGCATGAGTTTCTCATTGGAAAAATTGGTCAAGCTGTACACAGAAGAGATCCTAAGGTTACATGGTATTCCAGTGAGTATTGTGTCTGATCGAGACCCAAGATTCGTCTCGCGTTTTTGGCAGAAATTTCAGGACTCCTTGGCGACCAAGTTGAAGTTTAGTACTGCGTACCATCCCCAAACCGACGGGCAGTCGGAAAGGACAATTCAAACTCTGGATGATCTACTGAGGTCGTGTATACTGGATTTTGGAGGTAAGTGGAGCCAATATATGACCTTAGTGGAATTTGCATATAATAACAGCTATCAGGTTTCGATTCAAATGGCACCTTATGAGGCTTTGTATGGAAGAAGGTGTCGATCTCCGATTCATTGGAATGAAGTTGGAGAAAAGAAAATCGTAGATCCTACAGCTATACCTTGGATAGAAGAAGCCCAGGAGAAAGTAGAACTAATTAGAGAAAGGTTTCAAGTTGCTCAGAGTAGACAAAAGAGCTACGCCGACACAAGGAGGAAAGATTTGGAATTCGAAGTAGGAGACAAGGTTTTCCTCAGAATTAAACCCTTGAAGGGCGGAGTAGTGTCTAAGAAAGGTAAGAAGCTGAAGCCAAGGTATATCGGACCTTTCGAAATTTTGAAGAAAGTTGGGTTAGTAGCGTATCAATTGAAGTTGCCTGCAAGCATGGCTAAGATTCACGATGTATTTCATGTTTCCATGCTTAGGAAATATTATCCTGATCCAAGTCACGTGTTGCCACTAGAAGGAATTGAGGTGGATGAAACGTTAACGTATGAAGAAGGACCGGTCAGGATTTTGGAGAGAGAAATGAAGGAACTGAGAAATAAGGAAATTCCTCTGGTGAAGATTCTATGGAAGAATCATGGACTCGAGGAAGCAACGTGGGAGTTAGAAGAAGAAATGCAGAAAAAGTACCCCGATTTATTTATCCAGAATGTGTGAATTTTGAGGACAAAATTCATTGTAAGGAGGGGAGGATGTGAGAACCTTGAATTTTGCAGATAAATATCAATGCATACTTCAATTTCACTTTTATTTAGCACTCGTATTCCTTAATCTTTTCTAGTATTACTTTCACTCGCTTTTATATACTAGTGCATATTCCATTCGTAGTTCTTATTCTAATCAATAACATTATTTCATTTATTTTAAATAAGTAAATTAAAAATAACTTTTATGTGCAAAATAATATAACGGTGCTAACTATTAAAGCACTTAGCTTTGCTTCACTAAGTTAATAATTCTTGAGTTATATTAAGTTTACTCCTTAAAAATAATTCTTTAATTTTCAATAGCTAATTTTATTTTCGAATAAGGTTAAGTGCAGATAGAAACCTTAATATTATTTTGCAACCGATAAATTCTAGATAAAAACAATACAAGTATTCTAATCATACTTAAGTCGTAAAAAAAATTCCGATAATCAAAGCCTTGCAAGATTAGCGTATAATTAGGCGTTCAAATCACACTTGGGGATAATTTTTGGAGTTAAGTTAGAGCTAAGGACTTAAGTGGATAATAGGAGGAGAAGTGAAAAGACTAAACTACCCCTCACAATTTCACAAAAACACCCCACGGCCATAACCATTCCACGCAACGCCAAACACTCCCTCGGACACAATGATCTTGCACCTCTCCATCCGGCCAATGCTCTTCTTCACCATCTGCGCACTCAATCCTCACCAACACTCCACCTCCATTCCATATCTTCTGCAACCTTTCACCCCAGGCCACACTCCACCTCCACATTGTTATCATCGACCGAGAGTGAAGGAAGGTGAGCTGCACCATATAGCCGAGAGTGAGGGAGGAAGCTGAGAGCTGCATTTCCATTTCTGGTTCTGTCCGCAAGTATCGAAGAGGGAGGAGAGGAGGAGAAACTGTGAGCAAACTTTCCTCTGCATTCTCCAAGCTCAGCCGGTTGCTAACCAGCTTCCACCATCACCAGCTGCAACCCCTACAACCCAACCAGAACCAACCTACCTGTGCGTGAGGACAAGAGCCGAGAGAGAGGGTCAGACTTCAGCATCTTGTCGAGTGAGTGAGCATCCAGTGAGGTAAATTTCTGGACTGTAAATTGGATAACCAGTGGTAGTATAAGCAAGCTCTGGACTTGCATGTGAGGACTTTAAGTTCGGATGATGTAATTAGCTATATGATGATTTGATATTAAGCTACCAGAAACTGGTTTGGAAGAGAAAATGGTACTGCCGTGTGCTGAGCTTGAATGTTGTAGCTGTAATTCATAAATTGTGGGATGATCAGAGGTGGAATTGTGTTTAATCACCTGAAAACAAGATGATAAAGTCATGCATGAAATTAATTAGCCTGGATTACTCTGGAAAATAAGATATGAAACAGAATTTTCACATGCAAACTCATCCGAGAGTAGTTGCACAAAACTCTGGAGTTATGATTGTATTTTTGCTGCTGCCGAACTGATTTCTGGTCTGGAATGATAGTTAATCAACTCAGTAATTGTGCATGTGAGAATTAAGGGCAAAATACAAGGTTTTAATGTGGTTTTAATGTACAAGGAAAAATTCTGTTTTGATGTAGAAAATTTCTGCCGAGAGTTGTTTTGAATAATATAGTTTCATGTGGAATAATCTTGCTGTTTTAAGCCTCTAACCATGACTAACTAGTAAATTACAAGATGATTAAGCTACGCATGTAGTTAATTGGTTGAGTTAGAACAGAAAACAAAAAGAAAAATGCAATCAGTTTCTGTGCAGATTTCAACCGAGGCTAGCTAGAATTTAATTTGAAGACTCTTGTTGTTGTTCGAATTTAATTCTTGAACCAAAAATGTTAGTCAGTTAGTTAAGTAGTTGTATGTTGAATTTGAGTATTTAAATCCCTGAATAAGCCAAGGAAGAATTTTATACAAGATAAATGGTTGCTGGAAAATTTAGCTAACCAAACGTTTGAGCAGAAAATATTGAATTGTTTCTGAATTTCACTAGTTGATGTTTGAATATTTTCCTTGGCATAAAATGGTTTCGAAACACAGAAAAAGGGTGTATTTTAAGATATACATGTTGTTTAGCAATGAAACATTTGAATTGTTAGCCTTGTTGCTACAAGAATTACGGGTTGGGTGCTAGGGGCTAATGATTGACGAAGCCCTTGGCCATTTGAATAATTTTATAAGTACTACAGGGTGATGAAAGTTAATTGCTGGAATGTCTTGGAGGCTTTACTTTTATTTTTATTGGCTTATGATGGGCTTGCTGAGACCAAGTGCTAATGATTGATGAAGCCTTGGTTGATCATTTTATTTTATTCAGAAATGCACTTGTTGAAATCTAGGGCTAATGATTGACGAAGCCCTAGTAATTTGCTATGTGAATTTTTGCCATATTTTGATCCATATTATGATTTCGAAACGGAATCGGAGCTGTGGAAGTTGTATCGATCTTGCGAACTCGAGTAGCTGCGATCAAAATTAATCAAAAATATTTTCCAGCTAGTATTATATTATAAAAACTCCATATCTAGTGTTTTGCCTAAAACTTTCCAACTCGATAATTTCATTTAGCTCAAACTAGCCTTGATAGCTATAGTAAGTAAGTTCTATAGCTTTTGGAAACTCTAAGTCTTATTTTAATTCTTTTTTTCTTTCCTTAAGCTTTGCACTTGGATAGTTAACTATAGGAAAAGTTCCAAAATACGAGCTTTACTAATTTTAGTGAAAAGCTTGGGAGACTTGCTCGGCAAGAAACCCTATTTTAAGAAAAATAGTTTTTAAGGATAATTTTTGCAAAAGCCGTAACTTTAGAGAAATGTTCAAAGTAACTTTCTAACATTGTTGTTAAGAGTTTTGCCGACTCATTTCAAGAAAATGATACTAGTTACCCTTTATAAGGAAGAGTATCTTACGGAAAACTATAAGAAACATTTCTTCTAAGTTTGTCAAATTTCAACCTAAGTAGATTCCTAATTTTTCTAAGGGTAGTAAACTCGTAATATATTAAGTATACCTCTGCATGTATAAGCTTAAAAACTGAATAGAAACTTATAGTTTCAAAATTTGGTTTTTAGGATTTTGCGAGGACGCGGAATTCGATTCTCAACTTGATATCTGAACTCCACTCTTGGTAAGTGTCCCTGCCTGTTCTATGATTACTTGGTTAAAGTGCTTTCTTGACTCGATATGTGATAATTTGCAAAACTAGTTTTTGATCCATCGAAGTGAGCAGTGTGTACTTTATCGCACTAGCCGTTCGAGTGGTGACTTGCGTGAATCATTTTTCTCATGAATCCTTGAATCCAAATGTAGTTACGTCGTTGGGTGAATCCCTCGGCACGTGAATCTAACTACAATAACGTCGTTGGGTGAATCCCTCGACAAATTATCTACGGGTATATCTCGAGTATACTGCGTCCTTAGTCGACGTTCGGGCCCGGGACCGGGGTATGAATGGTGACGGGTTAGGATTAAAATGAGTGGATCTACATGGACTATAAGTAGTGAGAGTTGACGGAGGGTCAACTACGATGAATGGCGATCAAGCGAGGAAAATGGCTCCTGAGAGCCCCTGTATCCTACCTTGTGTTGTTATACGCTTTCCTAACTGTTCAATTTGTTTAAGTTATTTCTCGCTGTTTGATTTACGTGAATGCATGTTTTGGGGCACCACTGAGCGTTAGCTCACCCCACGTTTATTTGTTTTCCTTACAGGTCTGGAAGTTGAAAGAATTTGAGCTGCTTATATTTCCTATGAATGTTTTTGAATAGCTTGAATTTAGATTTCGGTTTGTAATGAATTCTACGTTAAGTACTGTACCTTTTATTTTGGTTGCCACTTGAAGCTGGAAAAATGTAATCCCAAATTCTAATATTCGGTTTGTATGTTTTTATTAGTATAGTATGTCTTTAACCTTGCGAGTAACGTGTGAAGTGGTTAAGAGCCGTCGTTTGGCTAAGTTGTATGCCGTTATCTTTGAAGCTAATGAGGTGATAGAAATTGATTTATTTCGGAAGAATTATTTTTGTAGTAGTTTAGGTTAATCCCTGGAGGATTTTAAGCTAGAATGCTTGCGTGAGTCCTGGCGAGAGCTGGGCAGACGGCCCGCCAACCCTTTGGTTCGCCTTAGGGGGAAGTGGGGTCGCCACAGACTTAACAAAACTTGCGTTAATGATATTTTCCTTGTGGCCTTTTGACACCACTGGTAGAGTCTGACAGAAATCACCCCCAAAGACAATAATTTTTCCACCAAATGCTAAATTTGTTTGCATCAGATCTTGCAGCATCTCGTTAAATTTTTCAATTGATTTTCGCTTTGCCATAGTAGCTTCATCCCAAATGACCAGCTGTGCATGTTTAATAAGATGTGCAATGGCACTTTCTTTTCCAATACTGCAAGTTGTAGTATCATCATCATATAAATGAATTTTAAATCTGGAGTGAGCGGTTCGACCTCCAGGTAAGATAGATGCTGCCACACCAGATGTTGCAGTAGTAAGGGCAATCCCACTTTTGACCTAATTGTTGCAAGCAGAGTCTTATATAGGAAAGTCTTACCAGTACCTCTAGGCCCATCAACAAAAAAAGCTTCTGATTTTTTTTTTAATATTGCATTCATAATTTTGTCATAGGTTGTTTTCTGATCACTGTTTAGCTGATGCAATGCAGCAAGATCGGCATCTGAAACAGCAATGTGCTTTTCAGTTTCTATCTCTTTTGCGATGAGTTGTTTGATATTTCTTTCTGGAACGAAGCTACTGAATCCATGATCTTTCAAAGATTTTCCCATAGATTGTAAGTAATTTTGGATAATCTGTAGAACTATCTCTTCAACTTTAGCTTGGTCAATAGATTTATCTTGATGAATATCCTCAAACAAGAAATCTTGATACTTGAGCCAGATTTGTTCTGGATTTGTAGGTGTGCAATAAGCTAAAAGAGCAGCAAACAGATGTCTTAAGAAAGATGGCA